TGATTCCGGTGAATGTGCGGGAGATTTTACAAAGAACAGTTAACATTCAATTAACCATTAAATTCTCATTATGTTGGCAAAATATTATGATATTAAGTTATTCTATGAAAGATTTCACAAATGTATGAACTGAAGCAATTATAAATGCTTAACATTGTTAAATACGGTGTCACAGAGGTGACATGTGTGTGTGTTTTTACTTGCGCACGAGATACTATGTCGTGGCCACGAGATACTATATCGTGGCCGCGAGTGACTAAGTCGTGGCCACGAGATAATTAAGTGGTGCGCACAAGATAGTTTCTCGTATTCTCGTGTTACGTATATTTTAGGAAGGTTTAGGGCAAGTACGTACATATTCTAAAACATATATATATATATAATTAGTTTCGTTTTATTATTTCAAGCCTGACTTTCACTTCTAAGTATATTTATTAGTAATGACCTGATATTTTGTACATAGGTAAATAGACCACTGACGATCAGATTTAGTAATCTTGCGACACACCTGGGATTCGCCAACACAAGCCTTTCAATAGGAGGAGCGCAATCTCCAGTGGTGCTGCGCCATGCAATTGAATAGACGACACTCTCACCAATTAGACAGGCGTTTGTGGCTACGGGCAAAGTGCCTTATAGCCCGCACGCTATAATAGCCCGCACGCTATTGACAAAACACACAGTTGGTTCCAGCAACTTTCACTAAAACAAACGAACGGAGTATGTATTCAATGTTTTTCGTTCGTTGTCGGTGTTCTTGTCGCACTTAACATAAAGCTTTTATCAAGGTAACCAACATTTCTAGATAACTCTTGTATCATAGTTTGGGGACCTTTCTGTTGAAAATGTGTTATATCCTATACATATACATGCACAGTGCGTTAACTGGAGTGCTGGTATAAGTTATCCGCACTCTAGAGCATGTCCATTGATTGGCTCCTTTTTTCTGGGGTTCACTTATTGTGAGGACAGAGAAAGAGAAAGCGTATCATATTCAGATGCTTGTTCATTGGTTACCTTTTTCTGGGGTTTCATATTGGGACAACAGGGAACGTGTTTTTATGCTTGACTATGATACAAAAGAGAAAGAACATCAAAACACTCGGCAATCTGATTTTATACTCGCGTACAAATCAGATAGCCTCGTGTTTCGATGCTCTTTCTATTACTTAACCAAACATCATATGATTGTTCAATTCGGCGGCAAGGCGATACATTCGTCACTTTTGTAACTTATTTAATAGGAAGAACATATCAAAAATACGATCTATATTAATTTCAGCTGGAGAAAAAGAAAACAACAATGGGAAAAAATAGAGAGAAATAAAGAATCCCTAAAGAAAGCTCAACAAGACAAAATTGAACATGTTGCTGCTCGGTTTGATTGAGCCTGTTCATGGACGGTAGTGGAAAGTGCAAGTTACCGTCCACGCCCCATAGCACCGGCTTAAGCAGAATTCAACATTTACTCATGGTAATGGTGAAATTTTGAATTTAGAAACATTAGCAGATGTATTCATACGGCAGTTATTATGGAACCTTCATTGTGACACGTTAGTGCCATTCCATGAAAAGCGGCATATAGTCCCCAAGTAAAAAGAGACAAAGACAAATTTAAAAAGCAGGCCACATATCCTAAGGGTGATTTAACAGTATTCAAGTGAGGAATACTGGAACCATCCAACAAGAGAATACCCAAAATGTAAAAACTAAAGTACCAGAAAAACAACAATAATGTCGTGCTGAACGATTTTTAAGGATCGAAAATATAACATACCTGATTGAATGTACGGGGCGACTTTTTATAGCCTCCACATGGCACAAACAACGCTGATGTGGCGATAAAATAGAGAGAAACAAGGAATCCCTAAAGAAAGCTCAGCCAGACAAAATTGAAAATGTTGCATGTGAGGCTTGTGGAGTGGTTCATTCCTTACTTATCCCCAAGTGGACTTCAGTCAATGGCGGAGTTGTTGGGGCCAACGCTACGCATGACAACGGGCAAAATAAAATGTTCACGATTTGTCACAGAGGGCCGGGTTATAAGTGGCGATAAAATGCTGAAAAAAATAGAAGTCAATTCACTAGAAATATGTCTCCTTTTGTACATCCAACTTTTATTTTATGAAAAACATTGTACAGTAAAATAATAATCCCTAAAGAAAGCCCAACACGGTAACATTGAAAATGTTGTAGGCTCGGTTTTATTGAGCCTGTTCATGGACGGTATTTTCAAGTGCAAACTACCGTCCACGCCTCTAGGACCGGCTTAAGCATTATTCAACATTTAACATGAACTGGTATAATTTAGAATTTTGAAACATCTGCAGATGTGTTCATATGGCGGTTAACATGGAATCGTCAATGTGACACGTCAGTGCCATTCCATGAAAAGCGGAATATGGTCCCAAAGTAAAAATGCTTGTGCCCTTAACGAGAACTAGCATACGGAACGTCGGTGGTTCTACTCAGGTCCTGTTCGTGCCTGAAATAATGCACGGAAGGGGGCACCTGAGGTCTTCACCAGTAAAGCTGGAACGTCGCGATATGACCTATACTGTGTCGATGTGACGTAAAACCCAAAAGAAACAAACAAACTTAACGAGAAAACAATGGGCGGAACCAAATAAAATGGAATTTTGAAAGGGGATCTGAGGTTATGAAACCTGCATATCACAGCTATGACGTCAATAGACAAGTTTAAAAAGCAGGCCACATATCCTATGGGTGATTAAACAGTATTCAAGTGAGGAACACTGGAACCATCCAACAAGAAAATAGCCAAATAGACAGAACTAAAATATCACAAGTACAACAATTATGTCGTGCCCAACGATATTTTAACCCCAAAACACGTCTTTTTAATGCTTACTTAAGCACTTTAGTCTGCTATTATATTACTACCATTACTCTGTTAAATAAAGATCAAAATGTAAACAAAATTGTTTTTGAATTGCTAAACCTAAGTTTCTGTATCTTTATTTCAACAGTAATTCTGTTTCTTATCTGAAGGAGGAGGAGGTCATGCGACGTCAGATTGAGGAAAGGGGGAGAAGTTGAGGTTTAAAGAACAAAGAAAACAGCAGAAAGAAAAAGAAGAGAAAGCTGAGAAGTAAAAGTCAAAATGACAGGAGGAAGAAAGGAAAAAGAAGGAGTAAGAACAAAAGGATGAGAGAATGAAGAAGTCTGCTGGGGTCGCGTAGCAAATAAACGCTTCACTTGTGCTGTGTGTGGGGAGAGGGTGTGTGTGAATGACAAAATAAATGGAGTTATTTGATATGGGTGCGATGAAGGTATGTGGGGGCGTTGCTAAAATGAGGAGTGCTTGGGCCAGAGTGAGAATGAGTATCTAAGGGAGAGTGAAAGTGATAAGAAATAGCGATTTGAAAAGTAGCGATACCAATTTATTAATCATAAACCAGTAAATTTATGAGTTAAGTTTATTCTTTACCAAATAATTTTACAAAAATGTAAGTGTTTATAAGTATGGTGTTTGAAGATTTACAAAACATTTACTGACATTGTACAGCCAAATTGTTAATAACGTGTGTAACCGCCACGTGCCCGGATGATATCATCAACCTTTCTCCCCACACCCGGCACTTTGCCTTAATTTTGACATGACCACAACTGAAATTTTAAATATTATCTTGCAATGATACGAACTACCTGTAGTCAATCTGCAACAACTGGAACAAGCTCTGCTCAAGGAATGGCACAATTTACCTTAAAATCGGAAATAAGGGTTAATTGCAGTTGTTTTCGGGGATGTTGAATTGGAATTCAGAATTGGATATAATTCAGTGATAATTCAGTAATAAACTGCAAATGTAATGTTGTTTCATCCATAATACACTATGTTTAGTCTATATAAGAATCGTACACCGGCTGCCGAAATAATCTTGCTCAAGGGTAAATGTTTACGGCGGTAACGAGACTCTGCTTAGTTTCCGCTAAACAGTTACCCATGAGCTAGGTATTTCTGTTATTAGTACCTGTTGGTTTCAGAAAGACTCAAAAGTGATTAATATAAGTTGCAAGAAGTTTGTCAGGAAAGTAAATGGAGTAAGAGTTTAAATGTATATCATAAATTAATAAGTATGTATTCAACATATTTGGTGCTACTGTATGAGACTGAACCTGCGTTATTTTTGCCACGTATTACATCTCAGCGTCCAATTATTCTAATACTTTGAGTGTTACGGGAAGAATCCGGCCCTAAAGGACATGTTTGACTCTATCACTTTTCTTTTGATTCTCGTGAACAAACTCAATAAAACCTAGTCTATGAATTTCAACTAATAATGTATATATTTTTATTCAGTATTCTCGGGGATCCCATTTTTCACTCAGAACAGCAATTGTTCATTGCTGTATGGTAAGCGTAAAATGTGCTGTACAAAATGTGATTCTTGTCTTTGGTCACATTTACAAGTATTCCAATACTTAATGTGGAGGAATTTTACTGCTTAAATCGTACTGCATAAGTCGTACTGCCTAAGTCGGTGCAAGACGCGTGAGAGATGTTGCACTTTCTTTTATCTGAGTTTATTGTTAAGGACAACTTAAATAAAACCTCAACTACGTATTTGTTAGTATTGAAATGCAATTTTTAAACAAACGTAAGGCAGATATTGTCAATAAATGATCGGTATTAAAAGGTAGGCATTTTATATTGTTAATGTTGTACATTTTATACTCATTTGTATGACTTATACAATTACTTGTATCATTCTTCTTCTGTACATTTTCTTCTATAATTGTTTATTGTACTACTGGTGTAAATACCTGTACCATATATTTTGATTTTACAGTGAAACAAATATGTATTACTTGTCAAAAATTGATGGTTTTGAACTAAATTGCCTTATTTTTTACCAGAATGTAGTCGGTCAATTAGGGAGAAGTATCATTTCCCAAGTGTAATTATGGAAAATATTATATAAAAAAAACTTGCGACAATTGTATCATGGAGGGATAAAGACTTAATCAACAAAAAGTAAGATAGATGTTTTTGTTGCACAGAGGAAATATTAATTAATTAATTTTGCTACAATTTTTTGCATCTTATTATTTTCAAAGGAATGTACATTTTTAATATTTTACAGGTCCTTTTGTCCTATATCAAGGGTAATTTTAGCTTATTTGGCTTGAACCGCCAACTAAATATATCATTGCTATCAGGTATAAATTATTAGCTTGTTGCATAAACAAGACGGCCAGAAAACGTGTTCCAATAGTTGGTATATTCGTGTAATATGTCCCCAGAATCACAACTCAGAATCTTTATTTTTACTTCATCGTTGAAACGAAACATTGTGACAGCATCGAAGTTAAAACATGAAGCCCCACTTGTGTCGTGTCTATTGACTCTTGACATTTTAAATGCAATGTTATTGGCCATGAAAGCAATATCAACATATTTGTGTTTTAGTACGCATAATTGCACGCTAAATGTATAGACACCAGCATATGGAACTGTGAAGACGCCATTATCTTTGTTATAAGCACCGCCTTCATTCATCAGAACCTCTCCGAAGACCAGGATAAGTCCTGTATGTAATGTAGTTTGTTTCGGATTTCGTGCAGAAAACAACACAAGTTCTGGTATTCTTACAAATTCTGCAATGAAAATGTTTTGAAAAAGTTATAAGAATTTTGTTTGAATTAATTGTTTGTTTGTTTGATTGGGTTTTACGCCACACCGACACAGTATAGGGCAATTGGCGACGTTGAAGACCTAAGGTGCCCTTCCGTGAATTATTTCAGGCACGAACGGCACCTGAGTAGAACCAACGACGTTCCGTAAGCTTGCTGGATACCTTCATCACATGAAAGAATCCAAAGTCCCTAGGGGCAAGTGGTTTGAAGTCAACGACCTTGACCACTCGGTCACGGACGCCCCTAATTTGAATTTAGATTGACAATAAAGTAGTACTGTAAATGTACAAATTTGACACAGAAAAGGAAGGCGGGGGTCAATGGGATAAAAAAAAATAACTGTTCATAAAAAGTACATGAACCTTAAATTTGAATATCACATGTTTTCTAAGCAAAGATATTCTATCTATAGTTGTATCCACTATAGATCTTAATGAACGGCTTAAACTAGGAAACGTCACTACAAAAAATCAATATTTGAATAAGTGAGTCTTATTGACATACAACATAAATCAAAATTAAAGTAATATTGCTACTTTTCTCATTTCGTAACTCGATCAATGGTATTTTGTCTACAAGTACGTATATGTAATATGGATATTACCAATGCCAATGATATGGGTTACTTGAAGTACATTATGCTCTCTCAAGTAATATTGAGTACTCAAAGTTTTGGAAGTCGTTTGGTGACAATATTTCACTCAACTGTTTTGTCAAAACAAAACAATTTTCATACCCTACCTTTGATTTTAAGCACCGGAATTAATTTAGTAATGCTCCGAGTATCTCATTTGAAATTTATATCAGATTAATTATTAATTGTTTTGTTTGTTTGTTTGATTGGGTGTCACAACGACACAGTAAAGGTCATATTGGGACGTTGGGCAGCTTTACTTATGGAACGCCGTGACTGTCTTATGTAATCAAAGTTTTTGTTATTTTGTGAAACTATGATATTATTTTGTCTTTTGAGCGTGTTAACATGTGCAATTTACATCATGTCTTGTCAAAGGAACATGCTGACTTGTACAAACAACATTTTAACTTGTCAAATGATTATGATGACATGTGCAGACAACATCCTAACTTGTCAAAGTATCGTGATGACTTGTGCAAACAACATGTTAACTTGTCAAAGTATAATGATGACTTGTGCAAATGACATGGTAACTTGTCAAAATGTAATGATGACTTGTGCAAACGACATGTTAACATGTCGAATTATTGTGATGACATGTGCAAACAGTATGTTAACTTGTCAAAGAATCGTGATGACTTGTGCAAACGCCATGTTAACTTGTCAAAGTATAATGATGACTTGTGCAAACGACATGTTAACTTGTCGAATTATCGTGATGACATGTGCAAACAGCATGTTAACTTGTCAAAGTATCATGGTGACTTGTGCAAACAGCATGTTAACATGTCAAATTACCATGATGACTTGTGAAGACAACATGTGAACTTGTCAAAGAATCGTGATGACTTGTGCAAATGACATGTTATCTTGTATCATGCTGACATGTCAAAACGTACTGTTAACTTGTCAAAGTATTATGATAACTTGTGCAAATACCATGCTAACATGTCAAAATTCCGTGATGACATGTGTAAACAGCATGTTAACTTGTCAAATTATCGTTATGACATGTGCATACAGCATGTTAACTTGTCCAAGTATCATGATGACTTGTGCAAACGACATGTTAACTTGTCCAAGTGTAATGATGACTTGTGCAAATGCCATGTTAACTTGTCAAAATTTCATGATGACATGTGCAAACAGTATGTTAACTTGTCAAAGTGTCATGATGACTTGTGCAAACGCCATGTTAACTTGTCAAAGTATAATGATGACTTGTGCAAACGACATGTTAACTTGTCGAATTATCGTGATGACATGTGCAAACAGCATGTTAACTTGTCAAAGTATCATGGTGACTTGTGCAAACAGCATGTTAACATGTCAAATTACCATGATGACTTGTGAAGACAACATGTGAACTTGTCAAAGAATCGTGATGACTTGTGCAAATGACATGTTATCTTGTATCATGCTGACATGTCAAAACGTACTGTTAACTTGTCAAAGTATTATGATAACTTGTGCAAATACCATGCTAACATGTCAAAATTTCATGATGACATGTGTAAACAGCATGTTAACTTGTCAAATTATCGTTATGACATGTGCATACAGCATGTTAACTTGTCCAAGTATCATGATGACTTGTGCAAACGACATGTTAACTTGTCCAAGTGTAATGATGACTTGTGCAAATGCCATGTTAACTTGTCAAAATTTCATGATGACATGTGCAAACAGTATGTTAACTTGTCAAACCATCGTGATAACATGTGCAAACAACATGCTATCTTGTCCAAGTATCATGGTGACTTGTGAAAGCGACATGTTAACTTGTCAAAATTTCATGATGACAAGTGCAAACAGCATGTTAACTTGTCAAGGTATCGTGATGACTTGTGCAAATGCCATGTTATCTTGTCAAATTATCATGATGACTTGTACAAACAACATGTGAACTTGTCAAAGAATCGTGATGTCTTGTGCAAAACACATGTTAACTTGTTTAGGTATTTTGAGCATGTCATCACGATAATTCGACAAGTTAACATGCTGTTTGCACATGTCATGATGACATTTTGACAAGTTAACATGTCGTTTGCACAAGTCATCATGTTATTTTGACAAGTTAACATGTCGTTTGCACAAGTCATCATGATATTTTGACAAGTTACCATGTTGCCTGCACATGTCATAATGATTATTTGACAAGTTAACATGCTGTTTGGACAAGTCAGCATTGTCTTTAGACAAGATATGATGTAAATTGCACATGTTAATATGCTTAAATGACAAAATAATACCATCATTTCAGAAGATAGCAAAAATATTTATAGCATAAGACAGTCACGGCGTTCCATATTTACTGGTGGAGAGAGACCTCATGTGCCCTTCCGTGCCTTATTTCACTCACGAATTGGCACCTGAGTAGAACCACCGAGGTTCCGTAAGCTAGCTGACAAGTGGTTTGAAGCCAACGACTTTAACTGCTTGGCCACGGACGCCAAATCAGATAATGAAGTATGGAAACTGTTATTACATCATAAAACAAACCTTTCAATTCGGAATTCCATTTATCTTTCTCGACTTTAAGTGTTTTTATCTCTTCCTGAACTTTAGATTTGGTCTCTTGGATGGCAGCTGCCAGATCTGTAGAACGTTTGTCAGATTTTGCTTTTAAATCATTCTGCCAAATATTTCGTTCTCCCTTTAAATCATCAAGAGTGGCCTGAGCTTGGTTCTGAGAGTTTTCAATTTCCTTCTTTATAGCCTCTACCGCAATTTCAAGTCTTATCATCTTTTCTAACAGTTTTTCTTCATAATGAAATTTTGAGCATTGCGGTTCCGAGACACTGCTGCTAACGAGAAACAATTAATACAACACAGAATAAACAATTGATCATATTGTTTGTTTTTTTAAACGAGAATACAAGAAATGTCTGCAGATAACCGAGCTGATCCGTGACAGCAAAAAATTAAGTACTGATTCTAAATCAAAAGTTAATGATAAAATTTTATCTTTTTCAAAAACTTTTTTTTAGATGAAAGTGTCTTTTGGACATTCACGATAAAATACTAAAGTTGAAAAGAGACTAGATGCTCTAATACCACTAAGTTTAAAAGTAATTCTTTTATTACATTTAGAGCTTATATCTAAAATATCAATCTGGTGGTGTTTATCAACGATTTTTTCAGCTGTTTGGAGTTTAATTCGTAGGAATTGACCATAATGGTCGAAAGAGTGAGCATATACTTGTATATAAAATAACAGTTGTCGGCATTTATTTGTTAGAACTAGTGACATCGACGTATATCAGGAAATATTTTATTTTTAAAATAAGAGTCATCAGTCAATAATCTTGCAGTGAAGGAAGTAATTGTTCGCCTTGTTTCAAGCCCATTTATTTTACATTATTTTCATCATATAGTTTAATACCTCAAACATACCTAAACTAATTTGTAACGTTTAAAATGAGAAACTAACAAATACAAATACATATATGGAACAAAAGCTATTTCGGCATTACAAAGTATTCCCCTGGACAAAATCTACAACATGTACAATTTTGATTCCAAATATTTATGCTAACGTTATAAAGCTATAAAAACTGAATATTACAATTTTTCTTTACTTTTACATTTCCTCGACGATTCAAATAAAGAATTTAAATACAACGAAACTCGTACCTTGTAATAATATGTCCCGCCAAGCTAGTAAAGCACACGGCAAGGAACATTACACTCACCATATTGCAAAGTTTCACTAATGTTAAATGAAGTAATGAAGATATACTTGCTGTTATATAGTACACGATTTTACACCCATTTGAAAGCAACCAATCGCAAAACAATGCGCTTTTTGCAAACATTTTTCACTCTTTTGACTGAGCATCGCATACAGATTATCTTTTACTCATTCCTTTTTTTTTTTTTTTTGCAAATGCATATTACATGTAGTTAACTTCAAACATAATTGTTTAACAAATAAAAGCACACTGAACAAATAAAACGTTTTGGCCAATTGCAACTTGAGTGTAACACATTTCCACAGATAATATTTTTTTTATATTTTGATAGACTTAATAAGATGATTTATGATGTTACTGGTATGCAGTTTTAAATAGACTATATTGAATAAATAAAACAAATATATTTCAAGTGAAAAGTTTACTTTGCATATTGTTCTTATAGTATATTTACTTTTCAGTATTAGCTTAAGGAACGTCTGTGGTTCTACTCAGGTGCCCATATTTCCTGAAAAAAGCACCTAAGGGCACCTGAGATATTCCTCCACCAGTCAAAGCAGGTGGCCGAGTGGTTAAGGTCGTTGACTTCAAACCACTTGCCCTTCACCGCTGTGGGTTCGAATCCCGTCAGGGACTTTGTATTCTTTCATGTGAGGAAGATATACAGCTAGCTTACGGAACGTCGGTGGTTCTACTCAGGTGCCCGTTCGTGCCTGAAATAATTCACGGAAGGGCACCTTAGGTCTTCCTCCACCAGTAAAGCTGAAACGTCACGATATGACCTAAACTGTGTCCATGTGACGTAAATTCCAAAACAAACAATAACACGTGTCGGCACTTTTTCGTACAAATTAATATTTTGAGTATAACGTTTTTAAATCTATGTAGCATAGTCAATAGTGTCTTTTTTCCCTATTATGTCGGAAATAAATTCAGCTTATTATCATGGCAGCATTATCATTATCACGGTATTATCAATGTTTTGTTAACATTTTTAAATAACGCTCGAAATGTAATCTCAAAAGCGGAAGATTTAATTCCATAACAACTGTACGCCGTTTAAAGAGATGATAAGTACAGTATGACAGCTACAGCGCTTTAAAATGTTAATAATGTATAGATCTAATATATGAGCCGCGTCACGACAAAACCAACATAGTGGGTTTGCGACCAGCATGGATCCAGACCAGCCTGCGCATCCGCGCAGTCTGATCAGGATCCATGCTGTTCGCTGTCAGTTTCTCCACTTGTAATAGAGTTGATAAGCGAACAGCATGGATCCTGATCAGACTGCGTGGATCCATGCTGGTCGCAAACCCATTATGTTGGTTTTGTCATGACGCGGCTCATATAAACAAACTACTGTCAATAAGTAACTTTTGAAAATTATAACTGGAACCAAAAATAAAAGCTTTAGAAAAATAAACATTAGATGTCCCAATATACCCCACATCGCTCTTAAGCATTTAGAACTGGCTTATAGATTCTAATGGGCCATAAAAAGACATAAGAAGAGAACATTGTATGACTAGTAACGACCTAATTTTAAAAATGATATGAAACAGTTTCTTTACAAATTCGTCGAGTTGCCATACAATCCTATCTGCACACAGTACATTTTGTCTTTTATCCTGCTACTGTGTATATCATCAGCTGGATAAAGCCTTGCCGGATAAACTTATCTATCTTCAGTCATTACGTCACCCGATGACGTCACATGTTTAGCAGCAAAACAAAACTGCATATAAACACAGGAACTTGAAATTCTATCAAATATCCAAATATACCCCCTATATACTATAAATAAACACAAGGAATGAAACGCCTTTTCCCCACCCCAACATAATTTATGCCGAACAAATCAACAAAACAACGGATCAAAATATTCCATCTGGCCATTTCAATAAACAATACATAAATGCATCAAATACCACTGATAACTTTTTTAATAACATAGCTATGTAGGAATAATTCAACATTTTCTAATTATTTCCCACGATCTGAGTTTGTCGCCGACTCCATTTCGTGACGTCACTGGATGTTGATTCGAGGAGAATAATATTTAGTAAAATTATTTTTAACAAGTTCCAAAAATAACAAATTGAATACAGCTCAAAGCGGTGCTAGGGAGCGTAAGGGATGTTGTCTTTCATTATCATATTATTATAAGGAGACAACGTTAAAAGGAAGTGCAACATGCTTCTTTGGTGTAGTATGGAATTTGATATCTCTATTAAACCCGCACCTATGAATCTGCTATGACCAGGTTAGCCACGTTACGTTATTATTCGATCAAAAATAAGACAATACCAAATGCGTATGAACTCTGATAAAATAATTACTCACACAGTTATCATTAATTTTAAGCAGGAAACCAGGTGAAAAAACTTCCGGTTTTCAGTGCAAACAGTTTGATAACATTTTTTATTATTTAACTTTAATTTCCTTATTTACTATTTCCTCAATATAACTTACAACCTACTAGGCCATGTGCAAAAAAAAAACCACCCCCCCCCCCAAAAAAAAAAAAAACAACATATTTTTCTTAAAAGAAAATTGTTAAAAATTGTTTCAGGTCGTTGATTATTTCTACAATACTGACAGGGTAATATAAACAGAGCTGTAACAGGAGACAGCGAAGCTCGACTAATTAAATACTCGAAGCAGTAAGGAAGACAAAACTATGAAAGAAAATCGATAATGATATAAATATATTTTCGTATCAGTATCAAGGAAGCACTCAAATGTACTATATTTTTGCACGACATAATATGCATATGATTTTGTCAATAAATGTAAAACACACAATTCTATGCTTAAATGGAAAAGACAACAATTTGAAATCTGAAGTCAATCCCTTCCAAAACAAAACAAAATGATAAGAGCAAAATATATTTCTGTATCAGTATCAAGAAAGCACTCAAATGTTCTTTATTTTTGCACGACATAATGTGCATATGATCTTGTCACACACATTTCTATGTTTAAAAGGAAAAGACAGCAATTTGAAATCTGAAGTCACTCCCTGCCAAAACAAAAATGATAAGAGCAAAATATATTTCTGTATCAGTATCAATAAATCACTCAAATGTACTATATTTTTGCACGACATAATATGGAGCTTGCATTTTATTATTCTTATCCATGTGACAAGAAGTTATAGTAAAAAAACATTTGTTAACATAAATTCCAAGTTCAAGGGGGGAGGGATACTTCTAGAAAGAGACATGCTAGAGTTATAAGCCTTGTCACACAATATGTGTGTAATGATAAGACATATATATTTGAAGTTTGAAGTAGATACCTTAAAAAGTAAAGAAGTTATAAAAATTCGAAGTTCAAAGGGAGAAAAATCTGAAAATATTGCGTCAGAGATATGAACCGTGTCACATAAGATGTGGTTGATGATAAGGAATCTGTAAATCGCAATTTTCGGCCCTTTTTTCCGTCAGTCTTCAGATAAGGACCTCGAACACAAGAGTGTGAATACACAGAACGGATACGGTATTTAGGCCTAACCTACGCTAAGAAACTAAACATGCAAACAAATGGTAATTTAATGCTGGGATTTGTTGAGATGGGTTTTTTTTCAATATATCAAGTAAAAGTCCACCTAAAGTAAGAAAACTCATACATATGAAAAAGTAAACAATACATTATTGATATACTTATTATTAAGGTTGTAGGAACCGAAAGTACAAAATACCAACCTTTGGACATAAAAGAGATTTGTTTAAAATTTTACATCAAAGGGCATATCTAAATTAAAAATGTTTGTCAGGCATATTTTCAATCATAATGCACCTTAATAATCTTTATTTTCTTTTGGGTGTCAAATATATACATTTGTTTTACATTATCAAAGATCATACACTTTATTTCTGTTTACATTTGAAACCACGTGGTAGAACTACTTTCAATCCGTATTAACTCCGAGATTATTTATGATAACAGCCGCGGCTGTTTCGATTGAAGTTTGAGGATTTAAGATACCTTTTAAACTAAAGAAGTTATAACAAAAAATAACATTTTTCAAGTAAAAATATCTAAGTTCATGGGGAGATAATATTTGCAATATTGGTGCTAAAGTTATGAAACTTGTCACATAAGATGTGGTTGATGATAAGAAACATATATTTGAAGTTTGAAGTTGATACCTTAAGAAATGAAAAAGTTATCATGAAAAATATTTTACTGCACCGAAACTTAAATCTGAAATCTGGACACGGACACCAGAGCGAAAAGGACAGCTCTCCATATACCTAAAATGTTTTATAACGATAGTATCCAATGACTTATAAATGAAAATGACAATTACAGTACTTTAAATACCATTTGAGCATTGATTATACAACTCAATCATTGTTTTTCAGTTACGCTTGAACAAAAATATTGATAAAACGTACACTAAGTTCATAAATGCTTTGATGTGTTATGCATATATAATGTGTTCCTCATATAATTAACATATATCCATTAGGCATATAAGCATATATTTACATTGTATTAAATATTAAAATGATTTTTCTCTATACTTTAACGAGTATATGCTGTTGCTTTTTTCTTTGTTGTTGTTGATGTTGGGTTTTAAGTGCCACCAGCACAATATAGGTCATATGGTTACTTTCAAGCTTTACTGGTGGAGGAATTCCGTTTGTTATTACAGGCACGAATAGACACCTAAGTGGCCGGATAGATTCCTCACATCAAAGAATCCTAAGTCACTGTCGAGTTTCGAACTCAAAGCGGCTAGGGGCAAGTAGTTTGAAATTAACAACGTTAACCACTCAACCATGGACGACCTTTATAGTGACCTGTAGTAAAAGATAGTAGGTAAAATGCTTCTTGTTATTCAAAGAACATTTCCCTGAATGAAGGCTATTGGAACATCATTGTGAGATTGAAAATACATGAATGCGTTAAATAAGTTTTATAAAATCAAATTAAACGGACGTTTCTTATTCATAAAAAGAGGCACATTGTCATGGTAGATATCCTGCTTGAAAT